ACAAGGATTGATGATAAACTCTGATACATTCACACAGTGGAATAAATGCCTATAATAAAAGGTAGCAAACTACCGATATGTGAAACGATGTGGATGAATCTGAAAATCACTGTGTTAAGTGAAAGAAGCCAGACTCAAAAGGCTACAGGTTATATTATTCCCTTTACATGAAGTTCTAGGACTGGCATAATGAAAAAAAATTAGGATCGTGGTTGCTTTTGGTGTGAACTGGGGTAGAGATTGACAGGGAAGGAGCAGGAGAAAACTTTCTGAGGTGTCGGTAATTTTCTATATCTGAATAGAGGCTTAGATTACATATGAGTATGCATTTGTCAAAACTCATCAAACATATACTTAAGATTTGTGTGTTTCATTGTATGTAAATTTTATATAAAAAGAAAAACCTACAAAGAAATACTGAAGTCTAATTAGAGATAGGCATGCTATAGGATTTAGAAGTAAGTGAACTCTTGTCTACTATTTACTTTGAAATTCATGAAAAATAGGATGGATTAAATACCACATGTTCAGTATAAGTGGGAACTGAACAATGAGAATGCATGGACACAGGAAGGGGAATAACATGCACTGGGGCCTGTCAGGCTGTAGGGAGGGGGGACAGAGAGCATTAGGAAAAACAGCCAATGCATGCTGGACTTAAAACCTAGGTGACAGGTTGATAGGTGCAGCAAACCACCATGGTACACGTTTACCTATGTAACAAATCTGAATGTCCTGTGCATGTACCCCAGAACTTAAAAATGAAAAAATAAGATGGATTGATGGACAGCTAGAGGGATGGATAGAAAACAAGGACAGGTGGCCCTCTGTATCTGTGGGTTCCACATCTGTGAATTCAACCAACTGTTGCTTGAAAATATTTGAAACAATGGATGGTTGCATTTGTATGGAATATATGCAAACTCTTTTGTCACGATTCCCTAAACAATACAGGATAAAAACTTTTTACATAGAATTCACATTGTATTAGGTATTGTAAGTGACTTAGAGATGATTAAAAGTAAAGAGGAGGATGTATATAGGTTATAGGCAAATACGACACCATTTTTTGAGAGATTTGTGCATTCCTGGATTTGGGTATCCATGAGAGGTCCTGAATTCAATCTCCCATGGATACCAAGGGATGACTGTATGGTAAAATATTAATGGTATGTGTGTTCATTGCCAAATTCACTCAATCTTGCTCTATATTTGAAATTTTTCCTATTAGAATGTTACTTAAAAAACAAAAACTTTAAAAAGAAAGCAAGAGTTATACTGACATCAGATACAGTACACTTCAAGACAAATAATGTTACCAGAGATAAAGAAGGACATTTCAAAATGATAGAATAGGTCAATTTATCAAGAAGACATAACAATCTTAGATGCCTATGCACATAATAGCAGAGCTTCAGAATACATGAAGCAAAAACTAACAGAACTTCAAGTAGAAACAGTCAAATCTGCAATTATAGTTGGATATCTTAACATTCCTCCTTCTCCAATGAACAGAAACACTAAACAAAAATATCAATCAGGACACAGAAGATTCAAACAATATTGTCCATCAGCCTTGGCCTAATGGATATTTTTAAGGTCATTATACCCAGCAGCAGTTGAATACATATTCTCTTCAAGTGCATATGGAGCATTCACCAAGATAGACCATATGCCGGGCCATAGAACAAACCTTAACAAATTTAAAAGAACTGAAATCACACAAAGAGTTCACTCCAATTGCAATAAAATCAAACTAGAAATCAATAATAGAAAGATAGCTGGAAAGTTACCAAATATTTGGACATGAAGCAACACACTTCTAAATATTCCATGGGTCAAAGAAAAAATCATAAGGGAACTTAGAAAATTTTTGAACTGAATAACAACAGTGTTAAACAAAAGACAGTGAAATTGCAAGAGAAAAATGGTCTGGAGAAATGTAACGAGTCAATTTCCAATGGGGGAGCAGGAATAACGTGACATGGGCCTGGATAAGGGGCGGAGAGGGTAAGATCAACTTGCTGATCACAGATACCTTTTCAGCTACCAAATATCGTCTCCCCAAATTGAAGCAGTTTGTATATCATGCCTGTGTATGTGGACCAACAGTGCCTTTGTGGGCAGAGAAATAAATACCTAAGAGAAGTGATGCAGCAAGTACAGTGGATATTGTTCTGTAAATTTAATAAATATATTATCTAAGCCAATTGTTTTGCCCTAGGGAATGTGTATGGCTTTGGTGCTTATTCGTCTTTGTTTCTGTGTGTGCTTGCACACATCCCATTTTGTGCCTACTTTTTCTCATGTAACTCCATAACTCCCTATTTAGAAAGCCTCCTCCCACTGCTAGCTAGTGTAAACACCATTCGCACTTCTCAGAAGCTACCTTCTGTATCTTAGACATAAAGACTCCTATGACATATCCTTAAGTAAACGGCATATCTTCTCAAGTTGCTGTGGAATTTTTATGCCTCATTCCTATTAGTTTTTCCCACCCTTGGGGGCAGGGACTATGTCTACATTGTCTCAGAGAGTACTCGTAGCATTTTGCTAATAGTAGGTGCTCAGTATCAGTTGAGGACTGAAAAAAGAGAGAGGGAAGAATGAAAGAGTGAATATAGGAAAGGGAAAGAAAGAAGAAGGAAAGAGGGTTTTTTTCTTAAGCTGCTTCAAGAAAACAGTGATGACAATGTGGAATCTCAATGAAAAATAATGCTCTTATTAACACAACTCACAGCCTTACGTAGACTCAGTACTTCAAGAGTCCCTAAAAGGAATTTCTGTGTGGAATACCTTTTAAAGCAGTGTGCTCTACTTTCGATTTACCTACAACACTCAACACACAGAAAACATTTAGTAAATGCTTGCTGAATGAAAGGCAAAATACTTTCCTAGGGGAAAGTACATCCCAGTGAATACACAGGTCTCTGGCCTAAAGTCTGAAAGCCTGCTCGTCATGCAACTTGAGGTGGACAGTTCATCCTCTCAGTGCTTTCTCATTTGGAAAATGTCAGTACTGTGACCCATTCTACTTCACCTGTCTAGATTTTCCTTGAGGCCTACAAAGACCTTTAAGTATCATAGAGGAGAATGAAAATGCACCATTAGTGATTGTTAGTCAACACTGAGAGCTCAACACATAAATAACAACTTACAGTGATTCCATCAAGTCCAGGTAGCCCAGGATCCCCCTGAGAAAGAGACAAAGGCAGGTCACTGAAGAGTTTAATAAATTAAGCCTGCAAGATTTCAGATAATTCATGTAACATTATCATAGGGGCAAAAACACATCTCGGAATCTTGGGCTTCCTCTGCAAGGTCTTGTGTTTTAAACAATGCATGAATTAGACATATTCGACTGTGTAGACTGTTTACTTTTTTCTGTAAGAAAAATCTGGACTGTAGAAGACACATATTATAGCCTTGGCTGAACAGGATTTCACATTTTACTTGGATTAATTAATTTTCACCTTTGCTAGGAACTTATCAATTAGAAACTACTGCTGCGGGCTGGTGATTTTCCTACTCCTTTTGGAGGAAAGCAAAGCTACCTCCCCGTGTGTCTTCATCCCCAGAGATTCTGTGCCCATATGTATACAATGCAAATCAGACATTACAAGGGAAAATCAACAGAGCATACAGTCTCTGATTACGTTTTAATTACTTTGCTGCATCTCTAGTTATTGCATGAATCAGTAATATAACCATCTTGTGAAAATTGCTGTGTTCCACTAGACCCAGAGTCTCTGATTTTTGGCGAGACCATTTAATCAATTTTTGCTAAGACAATGACCAAATTTTGACACCTGCTAGTCTTACTCCACTTGGCTTACAGTAAAAATCAGCTCTCTGTAGCATGGAAAGATTACTGCCTGAGTTTTAGCTCTTTGGTGAACTGGCTGTGTGGTTTTGAGCAAGTCAGTACACCTCAGTTTTTCTATCTATAAAATGAGCCATATGAGTCTGACAATCACGTGGTCCTTTCTAACTCAAACTATCTTCTACTCTGGCTTCTATAGTTAGAAGCCCATACCCTAAATCTTGTCCAGCTCTCCAGCCACCCACCCCCATTGCTGCCTTCCAAAGTGATTTCCAATGTCCCGGGCTCTATGCACTGATGGAAGACAGAAAAGAGCCATCAATTAGCTCAGTGAGCTCAGTGCATCTTTTCTTCAGATGTTGGGCACATAGATTCTCATTTGCTACCAGGGCAATGGTGGACTCGTGTCCCACTCTGCAAGGGAATAGGGCCAATTATTTGGAGCCAGGGTTTACTGAGGCCCCACAGGATACCAGGCAACACGGTCACAAGAACACAGAAGGTTCCTGTCAATTCTGGGAATAGATGAAAGTTTCCAGCCAACTGCAGGGCTGGCTGATGGTCAAATTTTGCAGATATCCAGGGGCCCAGCTAGGGTGATGGGTTGGTGTGCAGGGACAGAGAAGGGCAGAACCAGGATCTTTGGCTAATGGCCATGTTGAGATGGGCAGAGACATACATGGCTTCAAACCAAGGTGTACAGACATCAAGGATTCTAGAGTAGACAAAAGCTATCTGCCTCTAGGAAATGTCTTGGTTTGTCAAAGAAAATGATACCCATGCTAACTATTTGTTTGCTGATCTGTCTCCTATTTTTGGTGTAGATCCTGCAGAGCAAATCTCTTTGACAGTATAGTTTCAAACATTTATGTTAATGTTTCCACCACAAAAAGCTCCAGCCCAAGCTGGATTTAAATAGAGACACAGATGCTAGTTCTGGAAATGTGTTCATTGGAGGTGGGGCCCAATGCTGGGGAACCCAGCTTACAGCTTACTCAGTTATCTGCCTTACAGGCTCTTACCTTCATTCCTTTGAAACTACCTGGAGCAAGGACAGGGTCACCTTTTGATCCTTTCTGACCAGGAAGCCCCTGAGTAAAATAATTTTAAAAAAATTTGAAGAAATACACACATGTATAGTCTTTTAAATTGCATAATCTTATCAGATAAAGGATGGAACAGCAAAAGCCTGAAACCATGTGGCTTTTTTAATGGCAAAATTGGCTGTACTAAGGGGCAAAACACATTCCTTGACCAGGTACTGTGATTCAGAGCTGTATGCCCTCTCAATCACCAAGCCAAAAGTCTGTAAAGGGATGGGGCTTGAATGGGTCTGAAATGTGTTAAAGTCGTAGACTTTATGTCTACTTAGAGTACTGGTCTGAACAGCCACATATAACTCATGTAATGGAGAGAGTTCACTGCTTCACCCCTCGCAGGTATAGGTCACTGATAGAACTTTTGTCTAGGACAGAGGTTAGTAAGATTTTATGAAAAGAACCGGAAAGTAAATAATTTAGGCTTTGTGGGTCACATCTAGACTCTATTTTATACTCTTCTTCTTTCTTTTTCTTTTTTAAAAAACAGGCCACAAGCCAAAGGCCACGTGGGCCAGTTTGTATACCCCTGGTCTAAAAGATGTCTACAAAACTACCTTCCTCCTGTACTTCAGCTTCAAAGCCTGTCTAAGAGGCTGGTGTATCTCATTGCTAACATGCAAGATAGTTCAAAGTACCCGACTCCAATCTTTCAACCAGATTTTTTGTTGTCTTAGTGGCAGATGCTGGCTAGTATCTGCTAGAGTTTGTACTCCGGGGGATAATCAATGTCCCTACACCTAAGGGGAAGTCAGGATTAGTGTTTGGAGTAGGGTTAGCTTTGTGGACTGAAGCATTTATTTAATTATTGGTTCCTTCAGCAAGGAATGATTGGTATCTTAAAACAACACTGTGGTCCCAGAAGCAGAAACCAGTTTTTTTTTCCTAATACTGCCTGTTTCACCTTATTCTTGTGGCCACTACTCTCTTCAAAAAAGCTTCAAATAGGCCGACAGAATAATATGTTTGGTATTCAACAAAGGGTCCGCCTCAGCTTAGTAAAATACATGCCCAAGTTTTTATTTAGGCTTCAGGTTAAGTTTAGAGACAGGACTAGGATTTTCCTTTGTCCTTTGTCAGAGGATATTTATTACCTGAAAATTTATCTTCTCCCACTAGGGGGCAGCATGTCTTTGCTTTGCTGGATTTCCATGGAAATGTTTTGTTCTGTTCCTGGTTGCCATGGCAATCTTTCGAGAACTTTGCAACTCACTTAGTTCATCCTATGTCAGCAATACATCTTTCCTTACCTCCCCCCATCCCCCAACATATTGGTTTGGTCCTTATATGCCAATCTGGGGCATGTGCTTTGTCCATCTATCTCATTTTCTCACATGTATACCCATACCCCAACCTGGTCACTGAAGGTGATGGTGCTGCTCTTCTGAAGAAGTGTCAACTAATTCATGTAGCTATGAAATATGTCGACCGAAATGACTACATTGCCCTAAATTGTTAATTTTTTATGTGGTTAATGATGTGGTTACAATTTTCAGACAAATAAAATTAGCTTGATAACTGATTGAATATAGTAGATAATGGATAGTTTGTTTAAGGGCTTCCAAGTGTTAAACAAATACATTCTCAATTCTGAATTACTTCTTAGTTGCTACTTAAATAACAGTAAGCCAATTTTCCTTTTTGAGATATTTAACAAAATTTGCCTCTTCTAGTCCCATTTCCTGCTTCTCTAAAAACCGTGCTAGAATTTAAAATTGGAAGAGTTTAATTTGTCATCTACATTTTAGTTTTTTTATTCTATAGATAATAAGACAAGCAGACGTTCTGCTGTCAAGACAGTCCATGTTATTGTTGGCCATTCTATTCAGGGATAATGCTTAATGTCATTTGTGCATTGTATAAGGAATGTTGCTTATCAGTATATACACCTACCGTTAGTAGAACTGATGTACGGCAGGCTTTCTTGAATAATATGTATTGTTATTTCCTATAGTGTTATTATGCTTCCAATTCTTTTAAATAAAGCTAGTTTTTAAGGAGGAAAAAAGAAGAAATATTTCTAATGGATGGTGTGATTTCTAGTTAAATATCTCAGATTGGTACCCTCATTAGTTTAGATTACTTCAAGGGAGGTCAATAATGGGTCTGAAATGTGTTATTTTTCTCTTTCTAGCCACTTGTAAAATCAGCCTGGATGGGCATTCATTGTATTTACTAAAGATCCCTTAGATCAAAATATCTGAGCCCTATCTGGATGAATGAAATTAAATAAAAGTGGTGACACTGGGATCCAATAAATACCTTATCAATACTGTAACCAAGGGTTATAATGTGGAAGTGTAGCCACAAACTCTGTCACTATAGAGTAGGGTTTCTCAACCTCAGCATTATTGACACTTTGAGCCAAATGATTCCTTGATGTTGGGGAGGGGGGGCTGTCTTGTGTCAGTAGCACACCACCAGTTGTAACACCTCAAAATATCAATAGTAATTGCCAAATGTTCCCTGAGGAGCAAAAATCACCTGTGGTTAAAAACCACTGGTATAGACAAAGCTTGCAAGCTCTTTAGGTTTTAGTTAGTGGTTCCGTGATCCCATAATGTCTTCCAAACATTCCTCAGTATCATCTGATATGGGACCATGTCAAATAGCCCAAGTGTGTATTTCGCCATGAAATTTACTACAGCCTTTTAACAATCTTGCCATTTTCGCAAACGGCATTAAAATAAGGCAACCCTAAGCAGTGTAGCATGTGCATACCCCACCACAACTGGTATTCTTCTTTAGACTTTTACTGCTGTGGTGCTGCCAGTATTGAGTCCTACATTGGACACTGGTCTGTAGTGGCTGCCTCATAAAATCTTAATGAGGTTTCCAGAGAGACAGAAAAAGCGCATACTTGGAGACAAGGAAAGCCATTTGAAATAAAATGCAAATATCTGGCAGCATACAGGTGGTCCGAGAAGCCCAGGATAGCCACTAGGGCCTGGAAATCCAACAGCTCCTTGAGTTCCATTATAGCCGTCCAGACCAGGTGTGCCTCTGGGGCCTGGCTGACCAGGGTGCCCCTGTTCAAAGAGAAAAGAAGGGATCAAGTTAGCCACAGGACTGTCAGCTACTCTAAATGGCTCCACAGTGAGAAAAGCCAAGCATGCTATTCAACTCTGGCTCCTTGTTCACTACCTTAGCCCCATCACGTATGTTTGCATGTCTTTCCTTTATGCTCAAGCATATGAGTCTAATCACAGTTCAGCGTTGAGCCTCCCCAAAAGATCAATGCTTTAATAGGTACCAAACTGAAACCAAAGGGATCAAGTATGAACAGATGGGATACACAAGGTGTTACAACTTTACCTTCCTTGTATACAAAGATGTACTAAAATTGGGCTTAGTTGTCTGGCAGCTGAACTGGTACCAACAGGGCATCATGCCAGGCCTTGGGATTCCTCAAGCCAGACAGAACCTGAGCAGCCTGGCATGACTTCCAGTATTGGAAGCTCTTCATGGGAAATGATGCTGGATTTTGGTTAACAGAGCAGAAGCAGTTCCCACAGCACCTCCTCTACTGAAGGTTGCTTGGTCCAAAATAAGCAAGTTCTGCAAGAATCGCATTTTCAATATCATTTTATCATGCTCACACATCAGGCTATTGCTTCAGTCAGAAAACTGTATGTTTTCCTCTTCTCCATACTAACTACTGAGGCAGTTGTTTTGCTGAGGAATTAGTAATCATTCTCATACGGTTCATCTGAATTCAATAATTTCCCAGGGTGGGCCTTCCTTGGTATATAGAGTCTACCATTTTGTAGAGAAAATATCTTTTTTAATCCATCAAAAGTCAATTGTGTGATGGGCATGCAGCAAAGAGATGACCAGAAAGACCAGACATATAGACAAGTCAATACAAGGTAGATTTCCCCCTTGCTGACCCAAACCACTAAGATTTGAGGGAAATATGCCATATGTTCAAAAATGAACATTTCAAGTTATTCAAGGAAACAACCTTTTATTAAATTCTTATAGAGAAAATACTCTATAGACTTCTGTTTTATTTTCATTGTTATTATAGTCGTAAGAGCAAGACAGACAGTTAATACAAAAGTGTGAGTCTAGACTACTGGACTCATAGAATTCTAAGTCCAGAGGAATGGTCAATAAACTTGTCTTTACAATAAAGGTGTAGCAATCTGTGCCTCTGCAGACTCAGGTGATGATTTTTTAATTGAACTGGGGAAGCCGATTTACTCTTGTTTGCCCTGAAGATCCACACTCTGTCTCCCCCAGATCTGTGTCCTGGGAGCTTGGCTTCTATAGACTGTACCACATAGGCTCCCTTTCCCTCTGTCTTCCAGTTGTATTTGGCCACTGGGAGACATAGACTGGAGAGATCAAAGCAGGAAGAGAAAGACACAGGTTAATTATTTCCCCCATGGTCTCCCTCCTTGGCTATATTCCAGGGAAATGGACAAATTACTGCATAGTCTTAGCTCCTTTTCAGCAACAGCTATTTCATGGTTCCAGATCTCACTGGATTCCAGTATTACCATTCCATTTTTTTTTCCTTTCAGGTCTAAGGGGAGCTTTGAGTTAATCATTCCACCATCCATTGTTGTTTCCCTTAATCTTTCCCACTTCAGTTTAATATACCCTTCATTCAATTCTACTCAGCTAAACCCTTCAGGTGAGGTGTCTGTTTCCTGCTGGGATCCATATCATCCCTATTATAAAATGTCCCAGCCAAACTTGCTAGGGGTTCTCTCTCAGCTAGGTTACAGGGATAAATTGAGGCAAAACAACAGGCTGACTCAGTACCAGGAGCCTTCCTTACTCCTGAGCCCTTGTTTCTGTTTGACACCAAAACTTGCGTTGTCTGGATTCTTAACCTTTGGAATCCACATCTTTTACTGAGGCCTGAACCTTTTCTAGTTTCATTGCATGAACTCCTTATATTTCCTACCTGTAGGATTTCAGGGATACCTGTTTACACTTTCCTACCTTAGCTGAATTCTCTGGAAATTAATCTCTGACCTCTGACTCAGATCAATCAGCCCCTTTTCATCCAGCTGATACCAAGAAATGGGTAGACAAGACCTATTTTAAGCCAGTTAGACACGTGCTCCAATCTGCTTGAGCCTCAGTTCCCTCATGCATCAAATAGTGATGAATAATACGTACCTTATAGAGTGATTGTTAGCATTAAAAGTGAATAATGCGACCCCATTGGGTTATGGTTAAAATAAGTGACTCTAGGTTTACTAAGTAGGAGCTTAATGGTCTTCTCTTGGTCAAGTCAGCAAGGATAAACCTCAGGGCTGAGCTCTACTTCCTCTCAGTTGTCAGAACCACAGAATTTCTGGCACATTGCCCTTTCTTCTTATAGCTAATGATTTTACATATGTGTGTGCCAACCTTCCAAGAGCATATACCTCTTTAAGGGAAGAAACCATAGTTCCATATTGCCTCAAGGGACTGAGCACATGAAATAGGAGGATCTGTTGTATTCCAGAAAAACCAAAGCAATGCTCCTCAGAACCCAGTTTCAAAGGAAAAGTTGCCATTTGGTGAGTGGTATGTGTTCACTTTGAGGATATAAATCTCATGTGCTCATTTACAAGTCTCCAGGCAGGGAACCAAAGATTTGGGATTGACTCCATGGGGAAAGCTAAACATAAATTACCAAGTGAAAACCTCTTCTCCCAACTTCTTTGAACTGAAAACATTTGATAAACACACATTTTTTGTGGATGCCAACAGCTGGGATATCATTAAAAGCCACAGCCCTGCCGTCCCTAGTCTATGTTGTTCTAATGTTGACAATCCTAGGAATGCTTGTTTGCTCACTCTCTTGATTAGGTGCTGTGTCCCTTAGTGCAAAGACTTAGGTTATCATGAAGTGACGACTCATCCACTCATGTTGAAATTGTCTACATGACAGCAAAAGTGGAGTTTTAAGACCAAAACTAGTGACACATATGTTAACAATTGGATATTAAGAGGGGAAGCAGATCTGTGCAGTGATCCAGTTTAGCAAGATGTGTTGGGAAAGCTGTTGGTTTCAGCCAAATTGCTTAATATGTGTTATTGAAAGTTGAAAAAAATAGTCAGTCTGACTGGGCCTATTGTGTCTGTGCTTCTCTGTCTGAGGGAGTCCTGACAGTCTAAGAACTATTGCTAGGCACTAGAGGTTGGAGTCAGCCTCCCCACAACACCTTTAGAGTGTTTATGCATAGTTTAGTCATGGGCCTCTGGGGCGTCTCAGAGGAACAGAAATTATAATTTGTGCTTTCGAGGAGCTGGATGAGACTATCACAAAAGACTATCTATCACTAAGTCCCATGGGGCTGTAGGCAGTGAGCAGCTAGAGTATTTGAGACAGTTACCAATCACTCCTGGGAGATTAGAGATGGAAGAAAGAGATAAGCACTCAACAGAAGATGTTCAATAAATACTTCTTGAGTGGCTGGAAGAGAGAGAAACAACAAGAAAGAGGGATTTTATGGAGTACTGAGGTTTGGAGCCTGCAACTAGGATAATCACAAGTCAAAAGAAAACACATACAACCTTTGGTCAAGGAAAGGGCAAAGGGAGTGTGGACTTCTACTGGGAGCACGAAGCTCATTTAGAGGGTCTGAACAGCTGCAACTCATTCTGTCAAGCAATGAGTCCTCAAAGAGAAGTGATCAATTCCTGCAGGTTCTAGGGCTCTCTTGTCCACAAGTTGCAGGCAAGAGTATTCAGCTGGACTCTGGGGCAGGTTCCAGCTCAGAACTGGAAACAGCCTCAGCCTCACAGGATTCACTTCCTTCCAGCTCCCATTAAAACGAGACTGAAGGAGGAGGGGCATACTAAGATGATAAGCTCCAAGTCCCTGACTCATCTCTGGCAAAGCAAGGTCCACAGGATGAATGGAAAAGGCTGCCTCCAATTTGCTAGTTTCCTTTACCCAGTGGCTCCCGGAAGATACATATTCTGAGTGGAGACTCTGGCTAAAGGGGCCATAGGAACATGGCCATATGAAATTGCCAGGAGACATCATAAAATGATGGCCAACCCCATCTGCTTATTTTCCCACTGGTTTATTTCTGGGCATTTTGCAGACTTTGCAGTTGAATAAAATGCAGAAGTCTGGTGACCGACTTGTTGATACAGGCAACAGCTATGAGGTAAGTGAGCCTTCAATTCTTCAATTCCATAAATGTCTACTAGATCAGAGGAGACAATGAATCAAATAATATTATCTTTAAGGGCAGAGCCACATGATTCCTCTATATCCCCATGGTTGAGTGCTAACAGATAGCAGGGGCACATTAAATGTCTATAGATTGGCAAAAAGAGATTTGAACCCCTTTTCCTGACACTAGATGATTATTGAGCATAACACAAAAGCTGTTAATTATAAGGCCTCCAAAATTTTGCTTTGATAAGGTTCAGTACAACCTGTGAGTGGCTGTTGAAACGATAAAAGCAGGCTCTAGAATATCCCTCAAATGGAGGAGCTGCACTTTTTTTTCCTGTTGTCTATGCTGAGATTCTGTTCTCTTAAACAAGATTGAAAACTGCTACTATAAACAAACATAGCCCAGGCTATGGCTTAAATATATAGAGAAGGGTCAAAGGGGAAACTAAAAAATGATAGCCAGTAAGTTCCAAATATTCTGTTATAGGAAACATCACTGAATAAAGGCTGATGCAATGCTACCACGGAATCGCCAGAGGGGGCATAGGTGCAGATATAGGATGAAAATAGAGAAACTAAGGGACTAGGCTGGATGGATGGTAAAAAGAAATGTCTGCAAGTTCCAAACCTTCCACTTTTCTTGGGCAGAGCAGGGGCCCACAGGATAAATTTTGCAAAAGGCTGCCTCCAAGTGATCTTTGGAGTATCATTTTGTGAAAACGTTAAAGGAAAATTCACTCTGAAATGAGGTATGGCTGAAGAGAACAAATAATGAAATGAAATGTGTCAAGATATCGTGAAGGATTTTGCCCTCTAATTTCATGTACCATCTTAATTTCCTTATGAGGATATATATGCTCCAATGTGGCTCTGTCTCTACACCTTAGAAACAGTTCTTCATCTCCAATCAAAGCTCTCTCAACCCACAAGACCTAACTCATGCCGGCTAAAATATTGATGGTTATGGGCTACACAAGTCCCTCCACTCTCCAATCATCCCACATAGGGCTGCTTGTGCCTGAATCCAAGGGCAATTTTGTGTGACCACTGCCCTTTAAACCTCACCACACATATCTTAACACTTGTTTCTAAGCATGCTTGCATGAGACAGGATGTTGCTAAGGCCAAAATGTCTGAAACATGATGCAGAACCTGAAGGAGGATATGAAAAGTGCATCTGTAGATACACTCACCGGAATCCCATTGATGCCAAGAAAGCCAGGAACTCCCATGGGACCCTAAAAAAGGAGCAGGGAGAGGAATGTAAGATACAATCAAATTGATGTTCATTAGACTCAGTAGGATTGTTTATGAGAGTCAATGGCCTACATTTTTAAGAAGTGTTTTGTATCCCCCTCCCCATATTGTATCGCCTTGATTCCTACTGCAGTTCCAAGTGATCATTTACCTCTACCTAAGGCTTTAGACAGGCCTGTGTTCTGAAACCAGTTCTTGTTTTAGGGAGTAGAGTCTGGGTTTTAACTGGAGGACCTTGAATGACCTAATCACAAGTTTCTCTCTCCATTATGCTTCTATAGATAAGATCCCCCAGCCAAACAACTCCTTATCAAATGGACCAGGTGTAATTCCTGCTCATCCCCTGGAATAGCAGTTTCAATTTCTTGCTGGCCTACTAGATTATTCAAACAAGCCAATTGTATCCACCTTCAGGAACCAGGGTCAGTCTGCCCTACTGATACTATAAAGTCTGCTTTTGCAGCCTCTTCTTGTTGCTAAGTGCTATTCCTATGTGGCGTGTGGTATCCTCCTCCCCTGAGCTGTGAGTATATGTGATTAATAAATTGCTGTCAATTTCATCTACCCAGTGTCAGATGTCATGTCTTTTGTCATTCTCATGATCCTAGTGTGGGAATCCTTACCTCACCAACAGGGTGAATAGAAGGTGATTGAAGTAGGCAGGGAACATAAACTGAGCTGCTGAATAGTCAGCCTGCCACTGTTACACTATCACTCTTGTTTCTTGCAGATCTTCCCCTGTATTTGTGACCTAGATTTCTTCTAAGCACTCTGACCCCTTTCTTCCCAGTATCCTTGCTTGACTTATTCCTGATCTCTGTTGCCCAGGTGATAAGACTTCTGATCCATGCACAGTTCAAACCCACTTGACTTCCTACCGCAATGAGCCCATTTGTCTAGCAAATAGCTAATATATTTATTTTATGGTGTGCTTGCTATGGGAGTCCTTCCAGAAGTGGGCTAATCCATCAGCAGGCCATCACCCATCCCATCTCTTATTAAAATGTGCAGCCTGGGCTGGGCGTGGTGGCTCATGTCTGTAATCCCAGCACTTTGGGAGGCTGAGGCAGGCAGATCATGAGGTCAGGAGTTTGAGATCAGCATGGCCAACATGGTGAAACCCCGTATCTACTAAAAATATAAAAATTTGCTAGGCACCTGTAATCCAGCTACTCAGGAGGCTGAGGCGGAAGAATCATTTGAACCCAGGAGGCAGAGGTTGCAGTGAGCTGAGATTGCACCATTGCACTCCAGCCTGGGTGACAGGGTGAGACTCCGTCTCAAAAAGAAAAAATCAGCCTTGCACCAAACTACTCAGGAATGACATTATTTCCATAAATGAGCAGAACTGGGATGGAGAACTTCTTATCTTTACATTTGTGGCCCATGCATCAAAGGGAAATCAAGCTTTGGTGGTCTTACCTTATCTCCTTTTGGTCCATCAGGTCCCAGAGGGCCTGGGGAACCCCTTTCTCCTTTCAATCCCGATAAACCAGTAGGGCCAGCGAATCCTTGAGGACCTGTTGGACCTTGAATTCCAATTGGTCCAGGTCGCCCCTAAGGTGGACAGAAGGAGTGCAATTAGTCAATAGAAAACTTAGCATTAATACTTCTCATTTTCCCATGCACAAAGAGCACTGTCATCACTTCACTGAATAATTTTGGCTAAGAGAACAGTGAGGCATGCCAAAGTTCCAGACGTGGATGAGAAAAGGCTATTTTAGGGGCTGCTAAGCTTATTTGGATAGAACACATTTTATAAGCACATTTAATAAGATTCATGTGCACCAGGATCCTTCAACTTTGTACTTCTTAGGAGATTAGTTATTCAGGCTGGATAATATTGTCCTCTTCCTAGTTAATGCCAGGCCATCCATCAGATTGTCAAAATAGTGAAAGAACAGAACACTGGAGAGCATCATGACATTTTATAACTCACATCCAAATGGCCAACCACATGCTTGCAGTGAAGTCCAGAAATGGCCATGCCTAAAGAACATTGCCCCTGGGGGCCGGAGTGGGCCCAGGAACCTACAAGCGGCCCAATATACAAGAGCTCGTCTTTGTTGGAAGATCCCAGGACTCCATCACTGCACCTGGCAGCAGACACAGGGAAAACGCACAGACACACGCACATATACACACATGAATTACTTATTTGTTCTTTCTTCCTATCCCTCTCTCCTCTCCTCTCCAATCTGTAAAGTGTTGAATGTGTAAAATTCTCAAGGAGCCTGAGAATATCTATTAAGTATCGATTATGATAGCAAGAGGGAGCAGGCTGAGGATTTTAAATGTCCTGCATATAAAATGTCTGTAACAATTAAGTTTGAGAGTTCAGACTGACATTTTAAAGTAGACTGAGACTGAGCATTATCCCCAGTAGGTGCAAAACAGGCAGGCTGGTTTATCATTTAGAACAAATCCCAGTAGGGACTAAATTTTCTTGGCAGAACAATGGAAACCATCAGTAATAGGCATTATCTCTCGGAACACAGCACCATGTGAAGTAGAAAGTCCATTTTCATAAATGCTTTTCATCTCCACCTCTTGGCCCCTTTACTGACTGTCCACAATTTCTTACAAATTGGTGAAAAACTTTGAAAAGAAGCCCATTAAGTATGCCTTTTACTATTCACCTTCAAGGTTTACTTTTTAAAAGGTTGAAAATAGGACAGATGCCTTATGCTGTGGCTACAGTTATATACTGGAGATGCAAGTGGCCACCAGCAGCGATGATCCTTTAGAGTATAATTTCAGGTGTCAGTCAGGCCCACGAAGACCTAGGACCCTTTCAAGAAAGTAAAAGATGCTCTGTCCAAGGAAATGCAGTTCTCTCAGGCACCATCTACCACTTAGCCTTTCCCAATACTCAACATGTGGCTCACAGAAAATGATAGGTTGCAAACTGTTTAACAGGCTTCATTCTGGGAATGATGGGGATGGAGTAAGTTTTCACTTTCTAGGCTCCTACCTCCCATTGTTGGAGCTTTGTTTACAGTGGTTCTGTTATTATAATTGTGATTTTCACAAAATCAATAAATATGTATGTAAATATGTATATGTGTGCATATTATATATTAATAATGTAAAAAGAAAAAAAGCAGTACTTAAAAAATAGTGCTGTGGTGCTGTTGACAATGAGTGAGGAGGTCAAAAATGTGGGCTTACATCAATGATAGACTGAATAAAGAAAATGTGGCACATATACACCATGGAATGCTATGCAGCATAAAAAAGAATGAGTTCATGTCCTTTGCAGGGACATGGATGAAAGTGGAAACCATCATTCTCAGCAAACTAACACAGGAACAGAACACCAAACACTGCATGTTCTCACTCATGAGTGGAACTTGAACAATGAGAACATATGGGCATAGGGAGGGGAACATCACATAATGGGGCTTGGCAGGGGGTGGGGGGCAAGGGGAGGGATAGCATTAGAATAAATACCTAATGTAGATGATGGGTTGATGGTTGCGGCAAACCACCATGGCATGTATTACCTAAGCAACAAACCTGCATGTTCCACACATGTACCCCAGAACTTATAGTATATTAAAAAAATGTGGGCCTAGGTTTCAAGACTAATGTATACAAAACCACAGCAAACAGTACAAATTTGGAATAGAGTCTAAGTTCTGCAGGAACACAAAAAAAGAGTTGGCCGTGGAAGGTTTGTGGAATGATCACATTTTGCCCATGGCTGGGGAAAGTCATGGGTCACATTGGAAAGGTTGATTGGAAAGGTTCCAGCTGAAGTGGGCTTGGAGAGCATGGCAGGAAAGCTGCAGACTTGATGTGGCAGGACACAGGGAACCCTCAGAGGCTTGGAAACAGGGGAGAGTTGGGAGAAGAGTGGTCTTTCAGGGCTGAAAGTCATCAACGGGCATTCAGGAGAACATGTGTGTGTCAGCATGAGGCCAGGGCTGCCTGCCTGAGGCTGGGACAAGGGAGGCAGATAAGAACTAGCTGTTGAGGAGGAGGGAACTGCTTGATGGGAGAATGGAGGGAAGGATGGGCTTGCAGAGGTCATGTTATTATTAGCAGAGAGGATCCAGTCAGGGCACTGAATGCTTGACCCAAATCTGAGCCCTGCCAAAAGTTTTTCTGCATCAAGGCAGGGAAGGGGAAGAGCACCACAAATCATTGAACAGTTACTGAGGAAGCAAGTTGTGATGTGGCCCAGTCCCATCCTGCTCACACCATTAGAGAAGAGTCCCAGCAACACCTTGCATGGGCACAGGGACTGGCACCCTCTATCTCTGGTGCTTTATCTTTGCAAGCACATGCTTATCAGCAAGGGTTAGCAAGGAGACTTAGGAGGGAGGCAACTCGAGGGCTGGACCTAATAGGAACTCTGATTCCATGCAGAAAAGGCAGGGTCCCACAGCCCACTTCCTTTCTCCTGGCTTGGTGGGCCTGCGGTATTTCTTGACTCCTCTGTTCCAGTCAGAAAGTTGAAAGGAACTCTCTCCTAAAGAACTAACAGATATTAAAAAAAAATTTGAATTGTTTTTCCAAATGGGTGTTTGAAAAGGCACCCCCCAGAGGAACGTGCACTTCTGGGCTGGTCCTGAGTCCTGGCTTGGGTTGATGGGTGTGCCAGCAGCCCAGCTTGAAACCTCTCACATTGAATCAAGGGCTAGAAGCAGGGCCTGTGGGAAGTCTCCAGGATTCTGCTTGTCCAGAACTACTTCCTCAGCATGATGTGAGGTCCTTCTGGAGCCTGCAGTCATAGGATATGAGAAAAAAAGCCTTCCCTTCCACGGAGGTCCTTTCATACAGTGGCACAGAACACCAGGAACAAATGAAGGTGACCAAGAAAATGAAAGAAGGAGACCCATTTCTTCTGCGGTTGTTTTATCATCCAGATACACTTACTTTGTGCTTATAGTTGTATGATCTTTTTTCCTCATCTCTAATGCACAGGATTTCTGTCTCATTACCCATACAGCTAAAGCTTAATATTAACTAAATCAGTGGTGAATTCCCTTCCTTTCCCACCCGACACTATCAGCGACACTTTTCATAATGGCCAGCAGAGGTCAGTGTGAGAACATAGAGACTACACATAAGCAGGTGGGTGGGTGGGCCTCTCCCTCTACAGAGGAAAAGAAATCGAACCAGTGTCAGAGAAGCCAGAGAATGTTCAAGTAGGAAGGACCCTTAGAGAGCATTCCATCCAGGCTTTATTTTATACATGAAGGGAAAAGAGGCTGAGAGAATAGGAAGGACTTGTTTGAGTCACAAAGCTAGTAGGAACGGGATGGAACTAAATAGACTGCCCGCTGCCAGTGTGTGGCTGTTTCCCTGTTTGCCAGTGGCAGATGTCCTACGGGGTCCTTGAGGCTGCCCCTCAACTCCTCTGGGCCAGCCCCTGGGACTGTCCCCATCAGTAGGCGGCAGTAGCCAGATGCTCACACATTATTTCTTTCTTCCTAACCCTGATCATTTCACAGAACCAATTTGAAACACCATCACTGTTTGGACTGCTAGCAGAATTTCAATGGGCTTGGACCAATGCCCTGCCCTGATACATGTCATTTATTTTGGCAAATAGACCCAGACAGGGCAGAAGGAACTCCTCCAAGTCTTTCCAATGAGCTCTCTTGCTTCCATCTGCTCAGGATTTTAAATATGCACATCAGGGTCTAATTCTCAAGGGAATGAGTTGGGACTTGTGCTTTAGGCCAGAAACTGCAGGTCTGCAACCACAGCCCAGGCTGGCTGCCTTCTGCCAACCACAGTGAGTTGGGATCAGTGTGCAGTTTAAGGTGACCTCTATTCAGACCCAGATAACTAGGGTAACAGACCCAGAAATGGAGCTGCCTATAAAGTAGTAGATGTATGTAGAAATATCACCTAAGAATCTTAAAAGCATATGCCTCACACTAGACACAACAGTAAAACGGGTGGAGGGAGCTTACTTTTCATAACTTAGTCCCTTTCTGCCTTTTTATCCCTCCCTGAAGGTTCCAGTGTTCTTCTCCCATAAAATTAAAATTTGTTCCTGAGGAAGAATCTGAAACACATTCCCACTGAGGCATAAATGACTGACAACAACTTAGAGCTTTACTTTTCCCAGGGTGATTTGTAGAGCAAAGCATTCAGCTAGGGGATGCAAATGATATTTATGAAGCAGGGAAGGGAGAAGGGTGTGCAAAGGCCTTCCTAGGAATTCAGTTGTATCATAGAAGGTGGGGCAGTGCTGTTAGGTACACTTTAAGTGAAGTCTCCTTATTGCTAATTAATAATTATGTGACCTTGGGCAAGTGACAAAACCATTTTTAGTATCATTTAAAAATGAGTTCATGCATGTAAAACACCTGGCAGATAGAATGAAAGTATCAATTCCCTTTTTCCTTTAGGCATCATTTATGGCAAAATGGAGAATTTAGGACTGGGCACTCAATGTTCCTTCCCTTATGTTTCAGTTGGAGATGCACAGACATCATTGAGGAACCCTCTCTGGGGGCAGAGATGTGGGCTTGGGAACAGATGAGCCTGTATGCCAGCATCCCACATCTGTGAGAGCATTTCTCCTTTTACAAAGC